CCATGGTAACACGTCTCTTTAGTAGCGCGCTCAACTCAAAGTCTGAGAGGGTGAGGCAGATATTCACAGAAAACAGAACAAGAATCGACAACTACTCTACTCACTCCTCACTCCTTTCCTGTAAAATACAGGTCCAGCCCACACATATGCTCCATCAAGGACGGTGCTACAGGCCGCAAGGCAGTGCACTTACAACTACAATAAGCATGTTAATGTTAATCTAACAGCTCCGGCGATCCACTAGCACCCCCCCCCCAATTTTGCATTTTTAAATGCTCCCGATTTCGGAGGTCTAAAGGTTGGCAAGTATGGCTGGAGTGTATACAGGTTTCGAGATCTACCTTTTAAAGCTTATCTGAGCTTGGCTTCTTTGGGAAGGGTGGTTTAAGAGACATGCGCAAAAATGGAGCCTTGCAGACAGTGTGAGAAAAACATTTGTTAACATTACAGAATGAATACCTGTTCTAGTACAAGCCCAAAATTCTATTATGAACCTAAAATGAGCAAAATATGTCCTCTTTCAGTTTTTGTCTTTTCGTTATTGTGTCTTAATGCTACAACATGGACATTTAAAAACATCCCAGATATTAAAACTGCATAAAAGCAACTCAATGGACCGGATACTGAGATTGTTTCCAGTGTCAAAAAATAAAACTGGCTTAGATAATGATTTGTTTTTAGGACTAGCACTTGCACACTTAAGCTAGTAATCCAGTAATGTATGTTGCATGTTTTTATTTGATTGTATTTTATCATGAAATGTTTCTTTAGGTTGATTTACAGAATCTGTCCAGGACTACAGATTAATGTGCACTGTCCCTGTTAAATAAATGAATAAATAAATAAAACATAAGCTGATTAGGCAATGTAGTTGAAGCTATTTAGATGTGGTGTGTGTTCATGCCTCACCCACCCCGTTCACACACACTCTGGTGCCCTCGCTGCACACGGTGAGGTTCTCCTTGCTGCTGGGCTCGGGGCAGAACGGGGAGAGACCCGAACACAGAGCGTCTTTCTGACAGTCCGTCTCCTCGTCACAGGTCTGACCCTCAGGCCTCAGCTCACAGTCCTGACCGCAGCACAGGCCCTGACTCGGGCTGGAAGCACAAATATGTCCCAAATTGGAATGAATAAAGTACTATCTTATCTCATCTTATCACACACAACAAGTCCTGGGGGGGAGATGAAGCCACATCAAAGCAAAACAACCACAAGACTCAACATCAACAGAATAGTTTAGGTGAATGTGGCTGCCAAGGCACACTAAAAGTGATGTAAGTGAGAAATAAACAAACTACAACCTACGTCAATATACTGTAAGTGTTAGAACAAGTCTACATGCACCCAGTGTTAGACAGTAACCAAGTACGGAGGTATAATCAGAGCTGAAACGCCTCCATTGGACTCCTTTGTTCACCTCCGTAACATAATGACATCACTCTGTAACACTCTTGCTTCTATTGGCTAGTGCTCCAACACATTGTACGTTATAGGCTAAGGGACGGGACGTCTCTAAGTGGTTGATCAATCACAACAGAGCCGGCCAGCTAACCAATCAGAGCAGACTGGGCTCTGGTTTCAGACAGAGGGTGAAAAGAGGTGCTGCAGCACAGACAGTATGAGAAAAATAAAGAGCTTTTTGAACATTAAAGCATGGAGACATGTCCCAGTAGAGACACTACATACTGATATGAACCTGAAGTACTTTGTCTACCACTGCCTACACCTAAACTAATACAAATTGTACTAATAAATATCTTGGAGCACCCTGCTGTACCTGCAGACCCTCCCCTTCTTCAGGCGGCACTGCACCCCCTCAGGCTGTTTGGCGCTGAAGCAGCAGAGGTCTGTGTTGTTGTGACCGACATCACACTCCTCGCCTTCCTCCACAATCGTTTCCACAGATGGGCTGATCACTGACTGGCCACGAAGAACACACGTGCAGATGAACACACACAAGTAAACACAGACAAGTAAACACACACAAGTAAACACACACAAGTAAACACACACACACTAGTTGTAATTATTTACAGTGAGTGAGGCACGGTGTAAATATTTGGCAACATGCAGGTGGACACCGTCTGATGTCCTTTCTCCCATCCTCACCCACGAAGCAGTCGTCCTTCTTCAGCGTCAGGATCTTGGCGATGTGTTTGACGCTGCAGGGCGAGAACTTCTCGTTGTTTTCACGCACCTCGTCTGTGGCGTGAGGGAACATCAGGAACCGGCCTTTACCGCCGCTGGAGCCCAGGTTACCGCAGTTTGAGCCCTCATCGTGCTGAAAGACACACACGAATATGTATATTTTCTACTTTCTTGTTTATTTCTAGTCTTTGAATTACATGTACAATGCCCTGTCTTTGTAAGCTGCTGCAACACAACAATCTACCAAATTGGGATCAATAAAGTACTTCTTATCTACTTATCTTATCTTAAAATAAAATGTGTTTACCTTGTAGTGTATTTTATTTTCAATGCCGCAAAATAAAGGCCTTTAAGTTTGAGCTATCTGTTAAGGAACAGGATGGCTTTACAGAAGGACCCTCATGAGTTTCGTCTGAATATCCAGTAATTACATAACACATCGTGGCACTCTTTCTGGATGTTAGCTCTTGCTTTATAATGTGTAAGTTAATACCTTAATTTATGTGCAAAATAATTGTTTTATGATACGTAAGAGTTCCACGTCAGTTCCACAGCAGGACACCGAGAACAAAATAAAACCTGCTCATGAGACGGATTTAACTATTTTCTAGAACTAGTCTTTCCTTGAGACTTTGTGACTCAACAGTAACATGGACACATGTGGAGGGAACATGAGGTTGTGGCCATACTTCTGCATCTGTTTTAAATAAGTTTGATGGATGTTATTGATAGTGTGTCACCGTGTGTAGCTCTGGGGTTAACATAACTGCATGTCACAGCAGATGGTGGTGCAGTTTCAAAAGAAAAAGCGCATTTATTCTTGTTTTTATTGTTATTTGTTAGTTTGGTGTCACGCAGGGATTTAGATTCACGGCTGCAGACATAACGAAAATGGAAACTCTGAAAAGAAGCAGGAGAAAATAGAAAGCACGTATGGGTGTTTATCACAACTATATTCTGACAGATTTACAGCTCTTCCTGTTTACTTCTTGAACACTTGTAGTGGTTTTACAGATTCTGTTACAACATAAACACAATCTAGATTCAGCTTTAAGATGACAGAAATGTTGCAGCTGTAAAGTGTTTTGGTTTTGGTGGATAACAAGAGCCTTTTCCTAATCTGATGTTGTAGCTTTTAATAATTAGATGGGTAGCTGTGAATTCAATTATATAATATTGGTTGTGTTCGTTGGTATGGATGGATGCCAATGGCTAGATTAAGAAGTCAGAAATCATTTAGAGATTTTGTATTTAATGGTATGTTTGTTATTCTGTTGGATTTAGATGCTGGGTGTAGCTTGCCCTGTAGAATGGAGCTGGGATGAAGTATTATATGTAGGCCGATACAAAAAGTTAAAATAGCAGCGGTTCCCTCAACAAAATCCAATATGATTTTTACATTAGGTTTTGGATCTGTGGAAAACAACATTTTGTGATGCTTACACGATATGTTCAGCAACATGATCTTTTCAAATGAGGAAGCTTTTCTGATTTGATGAAGCTTAAATGAACTCCTTTAGGGGTAAGCTCTAACAATTTGCTCTGAACAAAACAATTGCAACGTGTCAATGACTTTGCCTCATCAACACTAAGCTAAAGGCCATTTGTATTTGGCGTAATGACATTTAGTTTAGTTTCACTGAGCCACTTTTTAGCAACCACCTTTCTAAAACACATATAACACTCAACATTTCAACTGCACTTTAGAATCTTTTAAGCTTGTGTTAAAACAGAAGGAATCAGGAAGTGTAGCATTGCTCTAGCTCATTTCCAGGCTTTAAGCATGGATGTATAAAGAGAACTGGATGTAGTGTCGGAGGCAGGCCCCTCTATGAGAGTAGCTTAGTGGCAAATAAAGCAAAAATGGACCAGGGTCATCCCGGGCTTGGGTCATAGAGCATGCAGAGTACAGTTTTCATTACCTGAACTAATAACATCCATAACATTCACCTGTCTGCAACTTACAAATTATGTATCACTTGTAATGGAGGCTGTGGCTCAGTGGATAGTGTGCTGGACTTTGAAACAGGGGATAGCAAGTTCGAGTCCCACTGCAGTCAGCATGTCGTTGTGTCCCTGTGCAAGACACTTCACCCATTTGCTCCTGTGGGGATTGTCCACAGTACTGAATGTATGTAAGTTGCTTTGGATAAAAGCGTCTAACATGTAATGTTGTAAATAGACTCTTATGGCACTAAACTCTATTCTATTTTATTGTATTTACTTGCACTATTTTCTCTGTTTTATTGTGTTGCGCTGTTGGAGGAGATTTTCATCGACATAACTACACTGTCGCTATGTACGAATGACAATAAGCCTGGAATCTTGAATTAAGCCCCACCAAATATTTGCCACCCTATTTTCAGGCAAATTAATAGAGAGGGAAAATAAATATGAATTTGGCTTTTAGTGCCTTTTACAGCTTTTAGACCATAATGTTTTAAGCACGGGCGTTATCTTGTTTATTTAGCTAAAAAGCTTCACAGACATCTCTGTCCCAATGTTAGTCAATGGAAAAACTATTTCTGGGGTTAATGACTTCACGGAGGTTGTAGTACCACCGTTTGGCCACTATGAATATTTGCTTGAATGTCCGACACACTTCCTGGGGCTTTTGGACTGGGGTGCAGTTGGCAGCATGCGGTCAAGTTGTAGCTTTCTTTTGTTTGTTGTTCTTTTCCTTCAGTTTGATTTAGTTTTATCGTTCCTGGGTTTATTTTCTTACGCTTTAGTTCAGTAAATATTTGGTTAATAAATGCCAACTTTTTTTGTCACTTCTCTGGTTTTGACCTGGTCCTTCCTATCCCAACTCATTTTGGGACTTTCCGGTGCTAAACCACCACATCTTCCCTTTGAATGGGGCAGCAGCACAACTATGAGATTTTTCAATACATTTTTCATCTGTGCATTAAATTGCACAAAGCTTTTGAAACCACCGTATGCACGTGTGTTCGCAAGGGAAGTGGACAAAAGACCAAAGCAGCTCTCCACCCAGAAGTCACTTTGCATCACAGCCCCCTCTTTCTTTCCTCCATCGTATATCAGGTATAGCCCACGCTCATATCTCACCATGTGCTTCATCTAGCCTTCCCAATCTGGAAACAATGAGACATGCCTGTCACAGGAGCCCTGGCACCAGCATGACGGTAGTTGAACTTGTAAAAAGCCTGCAGGGTCTGACATAGCAGAACTAATGGGCTCAGGAGCGCCTCTTTGGTCTGTGGAAGTGTGAACAACAGAGGGCAAGGTGAAAAATGCTGAGAGCATTTTGGGCAGTGGGCGAAAGGTTGCAGGTGTTAGCAGCCATCACACGTGGAGAGAGGTGCATGCATGTGTGTGTTTAAAGAAACTGTGGGTTGTTATGGTGGAGGAGGTTGTAAATGCAAATATACAGAAAAAAACTGCTGAGAGAGAAATTCTCCTGATCTTTTATTTCCGATCAACTAGTGAAGCTGAGCCAAGAGTCGCTATGAAACAATCCAGTCAATACAGGCCAAGGTCTATAATGCCCAAATAAGTAAATCATTCACAGACAATTTGTTGCGGTGCAGAGCAAACACCCATGTGTGCATTCTGGGAATATGTGAGGTAAATCTTGAATTACATGGATTCCTCATGTTGAATTGTCATTCAGTCCGCAACCCACGCAGCTTTGTGTTCAAAAAGAAACGTGTGAACTCTCGGTTCTCTGGCACTTAGAAGGGTTGAGAGTAAAACTGGCAAGAGTTTAAAAAACATCTGAAATACTACATTGAGGGTTTGCTATGTTTAAACCTTTTACACAGACATGTTGACATGGTATGGCGGAAAAAATCCTCAAGTGTAACACATTAGATTTAAAGCTAGCTCCACCTAATGTGGGTGCCTAGTGAGCAAATAAACAAGCTCTGCTTCCTGCACCTGGGACATGTTTTAAGTTTCAATGCAGCCATTGTTGATGTTATTATTAAGACCTGAGAATATCTTGTATTTAATGTGAAAAAGCACAAGAAGCATAAAAAGCCATTGGCCTGCAGTAGCACCTAAGACATCCACAAATGGAATTGATCACTAGGGGTACAGAAGTGATGTGTGTATATCACTAACCAAAAAGAGAATCCACCCTTAAACAGGTAATGACTTGTCTACACTGCTCTGTAAACTCCCCATCTGAGTTGTTGTATATCTATGACCCCTTTCACACACTTCACGCATTACAACCCTGATGTTATCTAGGCATTAATCGGAAGAGCTGTACGTGAGAAAACATTTCCATTTATTTGGACTCTAAACGGATTCTCCCTGCTATAGAGTCTGGTCTGTGCATTCACGGTGAGGCGTATTAAGGAAGACGTTTTTATTGCGTCTGGCACAAAAGGGGAAAAAAAAACTAAACATTGTTCATGCACATGTGAAGAAAATGGGCGATATACATACAAATATCTAACAGGAGAGATTTTTGGCACTGAAGCAGAGGTTTTAGGGGTCAACGGCAAAACTTGAAGATATATTCAAGGAGGCGGCAATGGACTTGATGTTTTTGACCAAATTACGAACCAGCTATGTGACCTCAGTGTAATACGCGCAATATCCAGCCTCCTGCACGCTGTACCCAGACTCCACCCTTCACCATAACTGAAAATTGAGTACTGCCAGTAGTAGAGCCATGGTCAGCTGGAATTCTTTACCGGTCCATATCATTCAGGAAAATACAGTACATTTCAAAAGGTTGCAAACAAATTATCTCAGTATTATAAAGTAAAATTGAACTGTGCCTGTATGTATTATTATGTACACTTATTTGATTTTTTTTGTTTGGCCTTATAATGGCGAAAATTGGATGATCATTTTAGTTTTCATTTCATATAGCATTGTAACTTGCATGACATTATGAGCTGTTTTGTTTTATGTATGTTTATGTATGTGTTGTGTGTGTGAGGACCCCAGGAAGAATAGCCAATGCTCATACTAGTGCTAATGGGGATCCTATTAAAGAATAAGAATTGAGATCGTGTCTGACAATGACATTTCTACTGTTGTCCGCTACATCTGTGAACGGTCATATGAGAACAACGGCTAATTTTGTAATATTACATGCACATAGAAACTATCTTTAAAAGTAGTCATCAGTGGAATGTCATGGTATGAATGTTGCACAATATTCAGTGTAACCAAGAGTGGTTGGTCAGTACAAGGCACTTTCAAAAACCTAGTCTTTTCTTGGTATCAGAAAGATGTTTTTAGTATTGGTTAGCTTTTAGAGAAGGCGACTGACCGGAGATCCCAGGCTGTGACCGAGCTCATGAGCGAAGGTCTGCTGGACGTGTCGTGGAGGCAGAAACTGTCCGTAGTTCTGAATGGTGACCAGACCGGTGTTCAGGGTGGATTTCTTGCCGTTACGCAGGGTGGTCTGCTGCGAACATATTCCTCCCCAGTTACCTAAAGGGCACACAGATGAGAGGAAAAACACAAGATTGGTTTCCACTGAAGTCCAAAAGAGTAAATGACAGTTAAAGCGAGTAGTACAAAACATAAAAGCAGACTTTGTCTTCCGATGTCTCTTGGTTGCTTAATAGAAAGAGTTCTAAATCGGAACATTTGTCAACATTTTTGCACTTCTGGTTCCCCATTCAAAGCCAATGGGTTTTAATTAATAAATTTTTTGTCAAATGCATGAAATATCAGACCCTAGGTTATGTTAAAACGTGGTTTTACTACAGAAAACACGTCAGGGAATACCCCAGTGGGGAATTTTGAAACTTGACGTGTGAAAAAACATGGTTGCTAACAATTGGCTAAATGAGACTACTAAACGCCGAACATTAGCCACATATAGCTTAGCGACGGTGAATTTTTAGTACTGCCAATTGCACTAACAAGTCAAAAAGGTGATGTTATCCCAACAATTAAAACATGTTTGTATCAAAAACGTAAACCAGTGTCTGTAAGAATCCAACATGGCTTTTTGAAAGGAAACCATTGCAATGCTAGCTTCATTGTCAGCCTTCAACCTTTCAGCACTTTATAATTGTTTAAAGTATTATACCGCAAAGTTAAGAACAGATAGCACTATAAGAAGGTTTTGATGAAGCTGACAGCTCATGGATGCTTTAAATAATCCCACCTGCGTCAATTCTCTGGAGCAGACCTAGTGAAATCAAACCTATGTGCCTGTCACTTTGCAGTACAGTATGGTTGCATAACTGACCTTGCGCTACTAGAGATATCTTAAAGTGTAAACCAACTCTGTGTTGCTACTGAAGTGTTATCACCCTCTGAGGCCCGGTTGGGGGGGGGGTGCGGACAGACAGACCTGCTGAGCTCCTCCAGCTTCACTTCAAAGACATTTGGCCTCCAATGGTCTCAATGTGGGCGTTACCTAATATCCCTTTCCCACAATTACTAACAGCTGGCCAAGTTCACATGGATGAACGGCTGGGGTGTGACATCATGTTTTGCTTTGAGAGAAACAAATCCAATTGGTCAAACTGAACAATTATGATAAGACACTACTCGTGTAATTTGAGTAAAATGGTCATACTTCAGATTGTTTAACAAGATCATTCATGACTTCTCACATCTAAAGGGGTCAATCTTTCTATTTTTACAACCCATAATACCCTGTGAGAAACTTTTTGACCTACCTACCTACCTACCTACCTACCAACCTACCTACCTACCTACCTACCTACCCACCGTGTGTTTTCCTCGAAACTGTTCAAATTGTGCCAAAATCCCATCTGTATTTGTCCTTTACTCTACACAGACTTGATGTCTGGCTTCCTCCCTACACCTCCTGCTTTTTAAAAAAAAACATTCATGACATCCTTTACATGAGATACAGCAGGAGCACCATCTACTATCCCACCACCAGATAAAATGAAGACATGATTTCGTAACTAACAAATAATCTTTTAGTGCAGACGGTTCTAGTAAGTGTCAAAGGACGTCTATACAACTTACTTCCAGTCCAACTACAACAGTCGC